GGAGCGCCGCCACGCTTCCCAAGCGGCGCACTATAGCAGTGCGCCACCGGGCCGGCCCGATCTGTAGTTATTTGAGGAATCTCCATACTGTTTCCCATACTGGTTTCGCTAATTTACAGTCCCACCAACAGTGTAGGAGGGTACCCCTTTCTCCATATCCTCATCAGAGTTTATTTTGTCTTTTTGATAATCTAACCAATCTAACTGGGGTGAGATGATATCTCAATGTGGTTTTGATTTGCATTTCCCTGATGCTGAGTGCTGTTGAACATTTTTTTCAAGTACCTGTTGACCATTTGTATGTTTTCCTTTGAAAAATGTCTATTCATCTACTTTACCCATTTTTTAATTGGATCATTTGGATATTTTTTGCTTGTTTGTTACCATGAAATTGTTTGGGTTCCTTATATATTAATCCCTTGTCAGATGTATAGTTTGAAAATATTTTCTCCCATTCCATAGGTTTTCTTTCTATTCTGTTGATTGTTTTCCTTACTGTGCAGAAGCTTTTTAGTTTGGTATAATCCCATTTGTTTATTTTTTCTTTTGTTGCTTGTGCTTTTGGGGTCTTAATTCATGAAGTCTTTGCCCAGTCCTACTTCCTGAAGTGTTTCCCATATGTTTTATTTTAGTAATTTTTATGGTTTTGGGTCTTATACTTAAGTCTTGAATTCATTTTAAGGTGATTTTGGTATACAGGGAGAAGTGCTGGCTAGTTTCATTCTTCTGCATATGGATGTACAATTTTCCCAGCACCATTTATTGAAAAGGCAGTCTGTTCCCCAATGTATATGCTTGTTTTCTTTGTCAAGGATCACTTGGCTGTAAGCATGTGTGTTGATTTCTCGGTTCTCTATTCTGTTCCATTGGTCCAAATGTCTATTTTTATGCCAGTATCATGCTGTTCTGGTTACAGTAGCTATGTAGAATAATTTGAAGTCAGGTAGTGATATGCCTATGGCTTTATTTTTTTTGCTCAGGATTGCTTTGACTATTCATGGTCTTTTTTTGTTCCATATGAATTTTAGGATTTTTTTTTCTGCTTTTGTGAATAATGTCATTGGTATTCTGATGGGGATTGCATTGAATCTGTGGATCTCTTTGGATAATATGGACATTTTCACATTATTTCTTCCAATCAAAGAGCATGGAATGTCTTTTCTTCATCTTTTTGAATCTTCTTGAATTTCTTTCATCAGTGTTTTGTAGTTTTTGTTGTGGAGATCTTTCACCACCTTGGTTAAATTTATTCCTAGGTATTTTAGTTTTTAGTTTTTGGTAGCTACTGTAAATGGACATACTTTCTGTTTTTTTTTTTCTTCCTGCTAGTTTATTGTTGTTGTATAGATATGCTACTGATTTTTGTATATTGATTTTTTTTATCCTGCAACTTTACTGAATTTGTTTATCAGCTCTGGGAGTTTTTTGGTGGAGTCTTTAGGTTTTTCTATGTATAGGATCTTGTCATTGCAAACAGGGAATTACTCTTTTATATTGTCATGTAGAAGATCGTTATGTAAGTGTAACCTTCCACTGTGGACAAAGTTTGCATCCACTCTTCCCAAAAAAGCACAAAAACCAAAATCTGAACATATAACCCATTTGCAGAGACCTTTGAATGATAACTATAAATACAAGTGTGTTTAAAGCAACCGTCTTGGTTTATTGGAAGGAAAAATCTTGGACTCAGCAATTTGCTTTCTCTCTTTGTAGTTTGTTTGTGGTTAGAGTCTGTGCACTTCAGGCTTTATGCATCAGCAGCAGCTGTTTGCAGAAGCTCCAAGGAAAACCTCCTCAAAATAGCTTTGTTGAAAAGAGAAAAAGGCGTTTACAAACTTTGGCAGGAACTGTACTCTTGAGCCATGTTCAGTATTGAAACTTGAATGGAAAAATCCACTGCATGGAGAAGCCAGTCATGCAGGATCCCGAGCTGGGTCTATTGTTAGAAAAAGAAAGAGATGCCAACACACAGAACTCTGTGGGCTCTGAAAGCCCAGGCACACTGTGTCCTGCAGGGGTCCTGGGTAAGGCCACCTGGGCAGGAACCTGACCTCAGCATTTTACATGCTCAGGAAGTCGCAAAGCAGGAAGCCTGCCACTTGGCAAAGCATCCTTACCAAACCAGAGTTTGGCTTGCATTAGCTTACTTAGATAACAGTTTCACAGATTTTCAAAAATAACTCTATTTTAGTTATTCAGTCATCAAGTCATAATATTTCTATAATTTGGGAGTCCTTGACAGTTTGAGATGGAAGGTCCTGTTCAGTCAGGTCCCATGGGTAGTTCCTGATCATCCCAGTCCCTTTATTTGATTAGTGCTTTTGTGTTCTCACTAGTGTCATGAGTTTGCGTGGAGGTCTCCTTTTGCTTATTTGTCAGGTTTCTGACTGCCGCTGAGTAGAGCTACTCAGCTGGCCATGTCTGAATGGCAGCAGCTGGTTTAAAGCCTTCTGCTCTGGCAGCAACCAGGTGCTGAAGGAATGTCTGGCACCACTGGTGGTTATTTTTCCATACCTCCGTATTATGCTCACCTGCCTCACCACAGCTGGACAAGATCTTCTATTTTCATATCCAGCTACTTCTGCCCCAACATGCCAGGTCCAGGATGCATATTCATGTTCGTCACAATTCAGCTACCAGAGATTCTGAATGCGGTGAAGAAGTGCCACTGTGGCACCCCTGCCTCACCACAGCTGGACAAGATCTTCTATTTTCATATCCAGCTACTTCTGCCCCAACATGCCAGGTCCAGGATGCATATTCGTGTTCGTCACAATTCAGCTACCAGAGATTCTGAATGCGGTGAAGAAGTGCCACTGTGGCACCAGTTGCCACTCATGGGTCAAAGACCCTCTCATAGAGGCTGGAGGCTCTCTCGGAAAATCTTGTCTAAAGCCTTCCATACAATAGCCATTTTTCAGGGACCCATGTCCTAAATGGCCTGAGTCACTGTTATTGATGACTCTATGTTTCACGCAAGAACTATTGCTTTGGGCGTGTTGGACAAGGGTGCCATGTAGAGTACCTCGTCTCACGGTACCAGAATTATATAGCTCTTCTTAATGCTCGGTGTAGTGCCAGCCAATATACTCTTCAGCCCCATGTTTCTCTACCTCATGGTAATTTATTTTTTCCAAGAGATTTTTTTTCCCTTTCCACGTCTCTTTGCCTGAGTTGGAGCTCCCCTAGCCACCATGATAGATTTCCTCAAGTCTAAACATCAGGTAGAAAAGGTTGGGGGAGTTTATCTGAGCCCCTCTTTCCTGGAAGGCATGTAAGTTTAAAAAATATCTCCTTTTTTATATCTGAACTTCATGTAGGAAGAGAAATGCTGACTCCATAAGTTAAGCTGAAGGCCCTATCCCATGATTTCTCCAGAGGGCTAACCTAGAGGCCGCTCAGATGTTCAAAATGATCCACTTCTATAGCCAACTGGCAGCTGCTTTTGCCTAAGAAGGAAAAAAACTTAGAATTATTTAAATACAGGGCATACAGCTACATAGAAAGGTGTTTTATGATGCTCCAAGAAAAATAAAAGGTTGATTTGATTTAAGTATTTATGTTGGGGACTAGTACTGTGGTCTATTGAGATATATAGACACATCTTCAGAGAGGGTCTAAAATGGAACAAAATCTTATCGGTTTGGGATAGTTTAAGTTCAGTTACGTTATAGAGTAAGCAGACAGAGGAAATAACAGCTTCTGGGCCCTTGCCATCGAGTGTCCTGTTTGCTTTTTAAACAACCAGCCATTGGTTGCTTAAGACATAGGTTCTGAACGAGAAGGTGTGGGGAAGTGAGCTATCAGGCTTTGGTGTTGCTGCCTTATTTAGTCAGCAGCAAATATTGTAACATAAGTGAATACTCCATAAGTTTGTGGGGAAAATTTAACTTCTCATCTACTGTAATTACCCCATTATTTATATAAGATTCTGATCACCACCAAAATTAATGATTAGCGAGGTATTCTTGTGCATTGTAAGAGCTTAGCTATGTTTAGATTATTACAAAAAATTGATTGTTTGTTTTTATTCTGCAGCCTCCACCTCAGATATATGACAAACAGCTGGATGAAAGAGAACACACCATTGAAGAATGGAAAGGTGACTCTACTATTTAAAAAAAAGTACACTTTTTGCTTTATTGAACCCAAGAAAGTATCCTCAAGGCCTTTGCTTATAAAACAATTTACTAAAACATGATTTTCTAATTGCTATCCTATTAGACAATTTTTGAAGCTCCTAAAACTTCATCTATCTTTTCACACTAATCACAATATTGCATTTGCTTAAACATGAAAGGAATTAATTATTGGCACCTTTTAAAATAGTACTGATTATTGAAGTATTTGTCATGGTGGGGGGCAAGCTTCAATTCAGAATTCCAGAATTAAGCTTTTCGTATTTGTACGTAAAATTATCATATAAAACACATAAAATTAAAATTAAGTTTAAAGTGGTTTTAGACTTTAGAAAATAAATGATAGTTAACACATGATTTCATTCATGTGAGTGAATGACTTAAGAATTTAAATAAAAAATATGTGTGCCTAAGTGGCTTATTTGTTTTTAAAGCAGAAAAAGTATGAATGAATACGTGAATTCGCTTTTTCAGCAAAACTTTTCCAAACACATACTGCATTTTCAAGATTATACTCAGGGTAAAACAAAGCATAAAAACAAGTTGAACTTATAAATAATTGTTAAACTAATTTAAATAACCACAGAGTAGAATAATATGAAAAAAATGCAGGTTGTAACAAATGATCTGATCAAGGTGGGGAGGAGCATAAAGGGAAGATCCGAATGGAAGAAACTGTTGAACCACCTTGAAGGAATTAATAAATGTAATTTGGGAAAAGGAAAAAAACAAAACAAAACAAAACACAAAGGAGAATACCAGATGGGCAACATAAGAGAAAAATAGTGAGTAGGAATAAGCAAAAAGTGTTATAAGGATAGTGAAGAGATTTCACTGATCAAGGGATCATGTTGGTGAATATGGAAGAATGAGCACATACAAAAAGGAGATCAAGTAAAAGAAGATGCTGGATGGTAGATGGAAAAGACTTGCTTTGATATAAATAAGCACCGGAAGGCCCTCTTAGGGTTTCATGAATTGATAAGTGATGGGATTTTGCCATCATTTGAGGAGGACGTGGGCTGAATTGTGAGAAGTTGGAGAAGAAATATCTGTAAAGAATGATGATTATATAAATTTTAAGCCATTGCCAAGCAAGAATGAGTAGGGCCAAATTATTTTTAGATAAAGGGATCGAAATAAAAAGAACTGAAGACATTCAAGGTCAGCTCTAGCAATGAGAAAGCCAAAAATGGATGCCAGTTAGGAAATGAATAAAATGAATTTTTTAATGTGTTTAGTTTTAGGCAAGTTTATATTTATAAATCTAAGATATGAGTCTGTGAAAAAGATGAAGTAAGAGATGGAAAATTGTTAGGTTTGGTAATAATTTAAAGTCATGAGAATATCTGTATTTCATAAAAAAGTGAGTGTAAGAGGAAAATAGATTTTCAAATATAGAGCCATTAAAATCCTTAACAGATAAAGCTAGATTAGAATGCATCAGAAGTTCCCCAAAGAATTAGGAAAACAGGTATAATGTGTATTCTTCATACATGTATTTACTAAGCTGCTTTATTAAGCACTGACTTCCCAGGCTCTAAACTAATTGTAGGGAAATAGAAATAGGGGAGTAAAGAAATCCTAATTGATTTTTAATTTACTCAACCCCATCAAAGTGTTGTTATTTGTCACTAAGCTGCTTTATTAAGCACTGACTTCCCAGGCTCTAAACTAATTGTAGGGAAATAGAAATAGGGTAGTAAAGAAATCCTAATTGATTTTTAATTTACTCAACCCCATCAAAGTGTTGTTATTTGTCATGAGCTAAGAAGTTTCTGTATGGAGTAAGGAGAAATTTTTCTTATAATAACACAGATAACTGTCTCTTACAGAACTTATCTACAAGGAAGTGATGAATTCAGAAGAAAAGACTAAAAATGGAGTAGTAAAAGGACAGCCTTCTCCTTCAGGTACTCACTCTCAGTGAATAACAAATAAATCAGTATTTGAATATTTTCTTGGTCTTTCAAGAGGGATTGCAACCAATAACATTGCTCGGAGAGCATATGAACAAGTATCACATGACTGTTTTCTTATAATGATTTCAGTTTTATTCCATTTGATATTAAGTGTTGCATTAATTCTGATTATTCTGATTTTAATGACCAAGCACAAAATTCTTTCAGAACATATTTTAAGATAGCAATGAATCCTGAAGATATGTTAACATGGGCTGGTTAAAGGGTAAATGCTCCTCATCAAAATGCAGAGCCATAATGCCCTCTTGACTCCCAAATCAGTGTAAAGGTCAGGAATCCCACCAGCCAAAACCTCTTCCCTCATTCATCTATCAAGACAGGGTAATTAAAGTCAGCTCGGGAAATCTTTAGTTTGCTATCTACAGAATCTAACACAGCAACATACATATTTTGCTGATTCTAGTCATGTGCTTTAAGATTGAGACAATGTACTTGTACTAACCTATGTTCTGAATATAAAGAGTTTTAGAAAATGTGATAGTTTATTTTTAGCTTCGAATGACACCCAGCTCCTGCTGGCAAGAATGTAGACAGCAAATGAGTACTTTAGAGGAAAACTGATTTAGGTGTCCTACCTTTAATAAACAAGTTTTCCCCATACACTTACAATTGTTTTAGGGGAAAAAAATGTAAGATGAATTAGTTAATCAATTATTCATACTGATACTGTTCTTTGAGTAACTAATTTGCACCCACAAACACTATGATACCCAAACAGATGCGATTCATTTATGATATGCTTTTTTCACAAGTAGACTTGAAGAAATATCCAATTTTGTCTGGTCTGTCGTTTCCTCAGTGAGAACACAGGGAATCAATGGAGTTGTCTTCCACCCTTCTCCTCTTACTCATTCATCCTAGCACCCAGATTGATACACGTCTGCAGAAATTGCTTCTAACTTATCTGCCTGTTCTGCCTGCTGCTGACTGAGGAATTCACAGAATCCAAGACCTCAGGATGCTGCCTGCTAAGACAGAAAGACTCCTTGTCTTAAGAATTCCTATAATCATTCAGAAGCCAAAATACCAAAACAGTGAAGGGTGACCTAGCATCTCAGGCTGGGAATGGACAAATTTTAGTAGAACCTATTCATCTTCAGTTCAAGTTATCATTACTTCCATACCACCTTTCCATAACATCTTGTCCCCAAAGACTTTTCATATTTTCCCAAAGAACAGGTCTTTCCTTCATGAGTCCCACTAGTCCCTGCATTTTAAATATTGGACCTCTTGTCTTATTACTTCTTATTGGTGTATTGGTTATTGCTGTTTTATTGAGTGCGTTATGTGCGTTTATCTTTGTGCACCATGCAGTGCCTAAGTGCTGTGCCTTGCACATGTTAGTAGCTTGATAAACTTTTATTAATTTAAAATTTGCCATTCAGTTCCTCTCTCAGCATGTTTCTTGGTGCTATTCCAAAGACAGAATTCAACATAGGATAATAGCTTTAATACAACTTAGTGTGCAATTCAGTGTGTTTCTATACCACTATTATAAATATTTATTCACCCTCTTAATCTCTGTGTATCAAGTATGTGAATGGTTGCTATGGGCATCTGTTTATGCTTCAGACAAAGGTTTTCTGCTTTCAGGTAGTTATTTGATTCATTCTTTTGGGGAAATGTATATTCATGAATTTTTTTTGGCAGACCTGTTTAGTGTGTTACTGATTAATTCTAAAACATGCCACTTAAGCTCTACTTGACTGAAAAGGCTAGGCCACTTTTTAACTGTTCCAGTTACCTGTAAAAATGAGAAATTATCCACCTAAACTGTAGTTGACTGGCCTAACCAATGTACAGTTAAAATGATTCAATCTTTCACTACATGATTTTAAAGGAAAAATATTCATGATTTAATTTTGAGAAATTATATCTATATTACATATTATAGAACATTTATGTATGATATATTTTCATGCATCGTATATAGGCTATAGGATAGCTTTGTGTTGGAGCCAACTCTACCAGCTTATGAGGGCCAATTATGCACTTCTCTTCCCAAATATGAGTTTTTTGACCTCATGCTGGTAGCTTGAAATCAGCCACAGAGGATTCACTAGGCTATAGGATAGCTTTGTGTTGGAGCCAACTCTACCAGCTTATGAGGGCCAATTATGCACTTCTTTTCCCAAATATGAGTTTTTTGACCTCATGCTGGTAGCTTGAAATCAGCCACAGAGGATTCACAACATGGAAACTGGCAGACCCTACAGATCCGGGCATTTTTTTCCCCTGGAGAGCCAACTGTTAAGTTTTTATCTATGCACTGCTGTGCGTGTATGTGCACATGTGTGTGCAAACTATGCTGGAAAGAAAAAGCAATTACTGAAAAAATTTCTGGAAAGTCAGCTTTTTTACATTCTTCATTATATTCACCTTTTCATACTAATGTTTGCATAGCATATTTTATTTTATAAATAGCTAGTATAAAGTAATTTTACAACAAAGACTCGTAATATTCAGTTATGGCAATACTGGGAATCCTACAGTCAGGGAATCAGTTAATGCAGTTTCTCAGGGACAAATTGGTTTTAATATTGAAACCCATGTTATAGTGATGCTTTTAAAATGCAAATAGGAAGTTAAATGTGCATTTGCAGAATAACTTATAGGTTTGAAATTTATTGGTGGACTTGTTGTATATTAATAAGAAATAAATCTAAACTTCGGATACATTTCTAAATAAATAATTGTGCTCCCTTCTGCTATCTGATTTCACTTGCATGGTGATTTATTCTCAAAGATAGTATAGCTGCTTGCTTCTTGAATTGATTTGTAAAGACTGCTGAGGGAATAGAAGTCCATGAATAGAAAATAATTTTCTTCTAAAAGCATTTGTTATAGAATGTTAGAGCTAGAACACATACAGGAGGTCATCTAATCCAACAGTTCTCAGTTTGTTCACCACCCCTGTCCTACTTGAGAAGTTAGGTTCCTATAAGTGACAATGACTTGCTAAGGTAAGGATGCTCAGCATCAGGATGGGCAGAACAACCCACCTCCTCCTCGGTGTGGATCACATTCCCCACCATGGGAGTATGTCTTTTCCATTTAGAGTCACTGATTTAATCCAATGATTTTATTTATTTTTTATTAGAAAACCTCAGGCCTGGGCCGAGCCCGTGGCGCACTTGGGAGAGTGCGGCGCTGGGAGCACAGCAGCGCTCCCGCCGCGGGTCCGGATCCTATATAGGGATGACCGGTGCGCTCACCGCGCTCACTGGCTGAGCGCGGTGCAGCCGGTCTCAAAAAGGACAAAAAAACAAAAACAAAAAAACCTCAGGCCCAAGTAAGGGTGGGACTCAAGATCATGCAGGTAGAGAATGGAATATAATTAAGTGATAATTTCTGTTCTAATGTTTTTTCTAATTCTTTGTATCCATCTTTTTTGTTGTTGCTAGTGGTGTGTCGGGGGAGTGGATATCAGGAAAATAATTTATTTAAAAAAGCAGAACAACATTTTCCTCTGTTGGAAAATGTCTGAATACTTTTTGATTAGGTAATCAAACTTCTGAGAAATTTTTATTAGCATAAGTTACTTCTTTCCATGAAACCATTTTTTTTTAGGTCATGTTGAAAGGAGCTAATATTCCTCATTTGCAAACCTGTTAGTATTTTTAGTTCATTTTAATGCCATTTTTACTGGCAAAAATTTATAATACTTTATCGATGGCAAAACATTTTTGTAAATGTATATAACCCATACTGGTATCTCCTATGTTATATAGAATGAAGGGATATTTATCACATTGCCAGATATCCAAGGTGAAGTGGGTATTATAATCAGATTCAATTCAGTTAAATTCTGTTACAGAGATTTTCACAAACTGCTTGGCGGTGAGTTAACAACTTCAAGCCAAGTTCCGTGTCTTATCCCTTATATTTGTGTTTGGTTTTATGGTTTACAAACCTTATTTATTACCTACATGAAAGTAGTCTTGAATGGATCATCCAGTAAAGCCAGAAGTGGCTGCAGTCCAGGAGGCATTTATTATAGTGCAATAGGGAGTCATAGAGAAGCAAAGATTTTTTCATCTAACAGTGATTTGCCAGTTAATATTTAACAACCATTCTTAAAACAAAATGCTGATTAGTAGCATATGCCAATTTCTGTGGTGTGAGTATTCTCACTGTGACCATTTTAAAACTACCAATGTGACATTCGTGAATGTAGAGTTCAAAAGAGATGCTACTGATTGGATCTGGGTTTGGGAAACAAAAAAAGAAATGGAGAATATTCTCACTGTGACCATTTTAAAACTACCAATGTGACATTCGTGAATGCAGAGTTCAAAAGAGATGCTACTGATTGGATCTGGGTTTGGGAAACAAAAAAAGAAATGGAGACTGAGATGGCTCACTAGATGATCCCAGGCGTCGCTACCACCACAAGCAATCCACTAGCAGCAATTAAAGCACAAATCTGCCATCCTGAGGCCACTGGAATGCAGAGGAAGAGGAGGAGAGACCTGCTGAGTCCATGAAGGTGTGGAAAGCCACAGCGGGCAGGAGGAAGGATCACTTGGAACAATCCCGGCTGCTCCTGGGTGGTGTGGCATGGCACAGTGCAGCGCACAGAGCAGCTTCCTGGAATAAGCAGAGCCAATGTGGTGCTTTTTGCCTAGAGCTACTTGGATCCTGCAGGAGAGAAAAGTACTACAATGCTGGGGAAAAAGACCAAACAGATCACTTTGGAACATTTCATCCCATTTCCCAAACCAGCATAGCTATTCATGAAGTTCCCCTGCACACACCTAGGATGGAGGGGCTGCAACTAGTGAGAGGAAAGGATTACTTTGGAGCCCTCTATCCCCCACCAATAAGGCCAGCATAACACCATACATGGAGAGGCCACTGAACCTGCTGTCTTAGGGGTGAGAGGAGAGAATAAGAAATGAGGGTCTGATTTGTCCTTTGCTGGGAACTCA